GACATAAAAAAAAATGAAGATTTTTCCGCATAGAAAAAATAATACAATCTGAAGATATTAAAATAGAATAAAGATATTAAAATAGATATTATTTTTATCTTAAATTGTTTTAATAACAATTATTTTAAATTACTAATTATTGAGTTTTTATTTTGATAAAAATTGCTTTAAAAGTTTAAAGTTCCAAGCGCATTATGTAAATCGTAAGATTTATTATTTCGAAGAACATTTGATTGCGTCAAACTTTACGATAATCAATGTCAATAGTACATGCAAACACAAAAAGTAAAATTGGTAAGAATAAGAAATAATGACCAATTTGAAATTACTCATAGAAATATTTCATTGAAAAAACAACAGATCCTAAATGTGAAATTAATTAAAGATGCATGTGCCGCATTAATCAACGTCGTCATAATCATTATCGTAATATCGATGCAACAAATTCAAATAAACGATCGAGCGATCAGACTGTATGTGAAAAGCGAACGGCATTGAATATATCTTTCGACGATTGTTTTACATACAAAACATGTTTGTGATCAACGTTTCTCCTAAAGCACATTGCGACACGTTTCACCGATTTCTACTATATTCTATTGCGCAACTTTTTCAAAGAAGATGTTTGGAATCGATGTTACTATTCAAAAACCAAAGATCCGAGATTATAATTTACTCGAAATCGCGCTATATTGATTATCCTTCTTCGAATAAAACAATCGAAAAGTCATCGTAAAAATTAGAAGAGATATATTTATAATGTTGATAGAGTTCGTTTGATTGTAACATGACAAAATCGACTTACTAAGTATAATTAATAAAATACACATTCATTTAATTAAAATCAAGGTTTTCAATTGAAATGAGTAAAATGTTGCAAGACTGATATTTTTGACGAAGACTTATTGTTAAAGATAACATCAAATCGATTTCGTATATTTTATGAAAAAACGTTTAGCTAATTGATTACATATCTGCAAAAGCAATTTACTTATATGTACTTGGACGCTTTTGAATATATTATTTTTAGCAATTGGCATACATGCAATAATATTTGAAACGTTGCCCTAATGAGGACACCAACATTAATATAGCTTTACGTCAATTAATAAAATTGCGCTCATGTTGCTAACGTAATTGAAGACAAATGAAAAGTCATGGATAATAAAATTAATTGGAATTAAATTAATAATTTATTACAATCATGAGATTCGTGATAAAATATTTCGACATAACTTATTTCTCGTCATCAGTTTCTTCGAAAAGAATCTTCACAATCTTATAATATAGATATCTTTATATCAATTACTTACACCATAAAAATGCGTTATTGTATTAATTTAACAATTAATTATTATATCATTGTTCCTGTAAGTCTAATAGTGGATACAGCTTTTGTCATTATTTTTATCTTGATTTTTATTTACATAATCATTCATACGTCTAACATTTTACATGTGTTTAATTTATTATTATATCATTTCAGCTAATTATATGGCTGATGAAGACAAAGTCAAGAAAGTTCTGCCATGAATTTTATGCTTGTATTATTAATTTAATTACAACTAATTTTAAGCTCGTTATACATGACTTTTCTTTTTTCTTATTTTATTAAGCTTTACGTCATTTTCATATTTTTCAATGTCTGTTCCATAACTATATATTGGCTGTATCGATAAAAAAATAATACGCAATTTAATTTTTTGTATGTATTAATTATAATATTCATTGATTGAATTACAGATTATATTAATTGATAAGTATTCTTTCTAGTAAAAATTATAATTCATAAAAACAAAACTTTTTTGCAGGGAATCAAATTGAGAAGATAAAATATAAATAAGCCAACTCGATTGCTTTCGAATTAGTTCAAATTCAAATTGTTACTAAAAGGAAGACTTCTCAAAGACATTATAAAAAGGCCAAGTTTCTTGTGAGTCAAACAAGACTTTCACAAATCGTTCTACATTATAAGTTACATATGTATCTCAATTAAGAACAACTATCTTGCGAAATGCAATGAAGGACGTATTAAGAACACGGATTATAGAATAGAATTTTATTTTTTCAGCTTACGAAGAGACTTGGTTTACACTAAATTTCTTAACCACATTCATCCTTCCACACTGCGCAAAAAAATCTAATATTATCTAACTTTACCTACAATTTTCACTACACCGCAAATATCTTATTCATGACTTTTTGAAGAACACGGATTATAAAATCGCGAGAGACATAAATTCCGAGTGCATTTCGTAATATTCTACAAAATTCAGTGAGTAACATCATTAAAAATATATAAGAAAAAATTGATAATGTTATTGATGAGAAATATATGGTCAAATATAATACATTAACAGACACACTTGTATAGTGCGTTCTCAAATACATTCTTCAAATAGAATCTTAAAAATCGCGTTTTGAAGGATTATAAGGACAACATTTTGTATCCTATAAAGAAAGGAGAGAAAATGTTTTCCAACATTCGTGAACGTCTGTGAATTTGCTAAGCATGAATTACTCGAAGCGCGATTGACATGATTCACATCTTAAGATTTGAAAGAAAGATAGCGTGCTGAAGCGGCCAAATGCTCCCTTCGTTGTTCGCTATATGTTACCATCACCGATACTTATTTCCGGTGCTCTCTCATACTAGCCAAAACGTGAGACTCAGGGTCGGCTGCTTCTAAGCAGTCGCCAAGAAGTCTACGTAAAACATTTTCAGTATGTGTATATACGTACATGCACGTGTCACTGTTGGATATTTAATTTTCAATAACTCCTTCATTCATATAAATCAAATAAAAAAAGTATCATTATGTGTAATCAAAATTAATTTAGTTAATTCACGAAATTAATTTGTAAATTCACTGAATGATTAATGATTAATCATTAAATATTTATTTTTAATCCATTAAATTAATATTCATTAATAACTTAAGAAATACTAAGAATATTAATAAAACTTTTCTATGCGTCTAAATATAATATTCTTTCTTTTCATTCTTTAAAAAAATATCGTGATAGGAATAATATTTTACAGCAAGTGACACAGTAATCGTTTCATTTGTATTTAACATTGCAAAGATATTATGATTCACTATTACGTTACTATTGTGTCATCTGTGTCTCTTGCTGGAAAGCACCCAATATCTGACTTCCCAGATAGTATAAAGAGTTCAAAAAGAATTCAGTCCTATCATTAATTCTGAATTCATTTTCAGATATAAAGAGAATTTTTTTTTAAAGTTCCGAAAAAAATTCTTCTTACATTTGAAAATTAATTCAGAATTGATCACATACGACTGAATTCTTTTTAAATTCTTTTTGAACTCTATGTTATCTGAGTTCTTTCGATAACGCTAACACTACGATACGTTACTACTTAATGCATTAATCGTTTCGACTAAAATTGCTCTCAAGAAAAATATCAGACTTGTCAGAAATTTACGTGTAAAAATGTTATTCATAATATTAATAATTTAAAAAATTTAATAAAAAGTTCTAATCATGAAAAATTTAGCATTCAAGTAATTTATTAAAAATAGGTAAAAATTTGGAAAAACAGTTTAATATATTTAATAATAAAATACAAGCATATTTGCTTTAATGTATATAATAATACGGATTATATGTACTTATATATATGTACTTATATACAATAATATAAAATAATTGTGTTTAATATTCTTTAGTCAGAATAATTTGTATTTGAGACTCTCTATCGTGTGTTTTGATCATACATTTAATTCTAACTGCAGAAGTATGATTTTTATCTCACATTCTCGTTACTCTCTGTTTGATGTAATTAGGCAGAACAAAACAATAATATAAGATGTAGCTTATAAATTGCTTGCGTGCATGAACATAAATACTATTATATATATTTTTAATTGTATGCATCATAAATATAGATACCGCATTTAAATGTTTCAAAAATAATTTGAAAAACAAAATTATCAATATGTATATGTATGAAACAAAATATGAAAAAAGTAGGAGGAGGAGAATGTCACTCCGATTAGCGGAGTGACATTTAATGAAATAGATGTCATTATATCGTCATGCTGTTTTTGAGATAAGATTTCTGCATATCGATAATCTAACACTGGAAGATAATAAGATTAAGAATCAATTTTATTTGAATTGAATATGATCACAAACTTGTCCTGGCATTATACTATAAAAGTATCATTATATTCTTAATTGATTTACTGCAATTCTTAAGAAATATTGATCGTAAAATTTTATATGAATCATAAGAATTCCCTTGTTGAACAGAAAAATAACAATTCTTTTAATATAATGTCGATAATAATACGAATATAATTACTATCGTCCTTGTAATTAAATACTTTTCTACAAGGAATCATATTCTCATAGAAACAAAACCTTGTTATTCAATTTCAATGTAAAATAATGCATTCGTATTTCCACTTTTAAATTTAAATCGATGTTAATCAATAGAATCCTTTACTAACATTAAAATGTTCTCCTAAATTTAAAAAAAAAATTAGAAATTGTCAAATCTCAATATTAAAATGCAAAGTAGTAAATATTAATCTGAAATAGTTATATAAAAAGACATTAGCATAGTAAAATCAGTTTTAATTTTACGCATAAAATTTATCATCTATTAATTTAGCTTAATTTATTTTTAAACAGTTTATAAAAATATAGTATGTGATTCAAATTTTCTGTCTTAATTTTATCTTATAACGTCGATTTTTTTTCGGAATGTGAGTACTGATTATGCTGAGGCATAATTAAAAAAAAAACTACAATGAGAGAAGTGAGAAATCTTTCAAAAATTTTTTTATAAAATTCTAATATTAACATCAGTATAACATAATGTTTCAATTTATACATCATTTTTCGAGCAATAACGAATAAAACTTTTAAGTTCTTTCTTATATGTATCCAATAGTAATTACTTTACTCAACTATTTAAACATCTAAGTATTTGAATACAGATGTTTGAAATATTTAAAATAACTTACCCCATTTTTTAGGTGTATGACCACAGTAAGTTCCTTCTATCGGATTGTGGAAACTATGGCGAATTATTTGCCAGCGAGTTCTAGTATCAGGTGCTCGCATATAATCAAACTCGTAGGTACCATTTTGCACTTGCTTGCCGCGGACACTCATCACGACGAATACTATCGACTGCTCTTTGATCGGTCGATTGACTGAGATAGACTGAGATATAGGCGGGTCAGTCTTGTCAACCTTCACGCACCGAGCAACTCATGCGGACTGATACGTAGAGATAGCGGGAAACGCAACGCGATTGTACTGGTCTTCACACTTTGCCTGAACTGGGAGAGCTCGCTAGCAATATGTAGGTAGTGAGTATACGGGCGAATGAGCAAGCGAACGGGTGAAAAACGAACGGTCGTCTTGTGGAGGGGCAAGACATTCGTGTGGGCATGATGTTAGGCAGCATGCTGTGTGCTGATTTGGCCTGTTGAGTTTGGCGCGGCGAAACTTGATTTTGAGAATTTCAGGGAGAATATACAAAGTGGATCGAAATGCTTGACGTTATCACATTACAAATATCATTATTTGTTTTTATCTGTTATAGAAATAGCTATTGACGATAAAGAAAAATGTTTTCATAATCTTTTTACTCTAGCATTTTTTACCATTTTGGTTTTATAACGTTGATGATTTTCATCTTTTCCATTAATTTTGAGACATCTGAAAAAGATTACATTTTTTTTATGAATCGAGATAATTTTAAAGATATAGTATTGATGAGATCGTTAAAAAAGTATAATTTTTTTCAGTTTAATTAAAAGTATTGTTTAATTTAATTCTTTTAACAACCTTTTGAATACTTTCTTTTATTACTCTTTTATTTATGAAATAAAAACGAAAGTAATGCAATTTTATAATCTCTGTGATATAATTCTTTGTACATACAAAAAATTCCTCGATTGACTTTATTTTATTAAAAGAATTTTTTCATTGAAAATGCATAAAAAAGGAATATATTTACATTGCACATACATTTGTGTTTTACATTCGTATCGGCCTTGAATTTTAAATTTTTATAATTTATCTAAACATTCTAGACAAATAAAAAAATTATTCTCTATTTAATTGTGTGATTTTATTTTCATTTATCGTTCAGAAGAATTTTGATTAAAAAAATACAATTTTAAAAAATATAAAATTTTAGAAATTTTAGAATCGAGAAATTTGTAATAAGAATCATGGCGCTGTATTTGACGATGTAAAATAGAAAATTACTATTATTAATATACTTCTGCTGTTATATTCTTGCACAAACATAAAAATGCGAATTTGATCATACATAAATAAAATATTAAAAAATATTAAATAGATATTCATTTTTATTGCACATATTTCGAATTTAATTCCGTATATTATTATTCAAAGTGGCTGTATTCTCTTAAAATTTTTTATTTAATTGCAACCTTTTCAATTATTGTTGTAATCAAATTTGTTCGAAAAAATCGATTTTAAATAACACAGGCACTTAAAATAAAATTCATTATTTGATCCGTAGATTAGACTACTATTTATACATATATTAATGCTTTGAAACTGAATCCAATATCCAAATTGTTCCATCAAGTTACAATTTTTTTATTGATAGAAAATAGCTCGATTTTCTAATATTTTTAGTCATTTATAGTTTTTAATATGCTAGTTAAAATAAAAGAGACAAAAATAAATTCGACAATCATATGCACGCTTATAAAGTTAATATGCAAGTAGTAGATTAAATATATTGAAATATCGAACTATTTTCCGTCGAAAGAAAAAAATTGTGACGTGATGGAGAACAATTTAGACTTTAGAGCATCAAAATACATAAGAATTGTCTAAGCTACGAATAACAAAATTTTTTATTGTATGCCTGTGTAATTTTTCCTTCATCGATTCTGTAAAATTATATAATTATATATATATTATTGAAAATATTGAAAACATGTTGGAAAATATAAATGTATAAATATAGCCATATGTGACCTACATATAATTTATATTTAAATATAACCAATTATAAATTATGTTTAGATGATCACCTGTTCATGAAAATATGATATTAAAAAATACGCTCTTCAACGTTTAAATATATTCCGTCTAAAATCGTCTAAAATCGTCTAAAACCATCTAAAAAATGTAATACATTATTTAAAGCCTTATTATTTTGCAAAATATTGCTTAAAATAAAAATTTACAAATAACTTCATTACTTAATTTTTTTAAAAATCTTCTTGCTGTATTTTGATTTGCAAATTTCAGCATATTCTGTATATACATTAAAGAAGTAAATTCTTGAAAAAAATAATTTTTATATTATATTCTTTGAATCTGTTCGAAGCGATTTGAATTCGTATTATCAGACATGGCTAAAAAATAATAAATTATTGTATCTAATAATTGTAATAATGAATTTAATATACGTAAGAATTATATATCTGTAATAAAACGATTTGAATTCATTTTTTTAATTCTACGAAATTCGAAATCTATCAAAAATAAGGAATAGATTCTCGAAACATCAATACGATGAAAACAATAAATTATAATAACTTTCTAATGTAGAAATATAATCTGAAATATTTTATTAGTCATTAGAAATGGCAAAAAAAAACGAATTAATTGTAACATATGTAAGAATTTTTAATATTGAAAATAATATTAGAATTGAATTGTGTGCGATGGAATATCGATAGTATCGCATCTACGTGACGTCATTAAAACAAAAATGGCTGCTACGAAAGATCTGGCGGGATTTGGTCGAATTCTGCGAATAATTAACAATAGATTGATACACATTAATTAATAAAATTTGAATCATTATAATGAAATAGAAAGGAAACAGATATATCTTCATAAATTATTAATAACATGCAGTTCCATTCTGAAAGCGGGTTAGAGCTATTATCGAGATTTAGCGAGAAATCACGTTCAATTAACCTCGACGACGTTCTTTTCTCAACTGATATCAGCAATAAGAGCATCATAGAGATCACCGGGGCTTCATCCACTGGAAAGACTGTATTATTGTGCCAATTCATAGCAAAATGTATACTACCCGCGCAATATAAGGAGATCAAGATCGACGGATGTGATGCTTGTGCGATACTGATCAACACACTTGGCCATGTACAGATGAGTAAGATAGCTGAACTAATGACGTCCATGGTACGTAACGCATATCAGGTAGCTAATGTACAACCGTCAGCCGAAACGATAGACTACATAATAAATCAATCTCTGGAAAATTTAACAGTGATCAACTGTTGTAACAACGATCAACTCCTGCTGATTCTGCACACGCTTGAAAACGAGTTTGTCAGCAATAAAAGAATCACTTTGTTAGCTATAGATAATATACTGGCATACTATTGGCAGGCAAGGAAAGAGAATCTACTTACTATGAATTATTATGCTATAAGCTTACTCAAAATCATTCGGTCTCAAACATCTCAGTTTCACACAGTGACAGTTTACACTAGATGGGATGGACCAGTGCCCAAGTACGAATCATATGCGGAATGTACAGATACATTAGAGAGGACAGGTGTAAATTATAGACTGCAGCTTAGTAAAAGTACTAGAATTCGTGAGTTTATGTGTCATGTACAATTTACTAATAATGTAAAACAGATTTATTATACAATCTCTGATTCTGGTATAAAATGGATGAGATAATAAATATAAATTGAAAGTAAATAAGTTTCAGTAATTAATTGATGAAAGAAGAACCTTCTCCACTATGTCTAATGGATTTAACAGTCTCGAACCTGCTATTGTTATTTGGCAATTTGAATTAAATAATGATATAATTTCTTTAGTTTCTCTTATTTCTTCTGGTGTTATACCTCCAATGACATAAATGATAATCCAATTGTTATCACATGGATGATGTTTTATTCTTCCTTTAGAAAATAAGCTGTCAAAGATATTCAAAACTAGATTTTCTTCAGAATTTCTTTAGGAAAACTGAGACAACATCCATTTAATATAATATATATTATAATAATAAACATATAATATAATATATTATAATATATTATAATAATGCATAATATAATGTAGATGATAATATAATATAATATATAAACTTACTTGAATCCAGCAGAAATAAACGAAGGTGATCTCTGATGTAAATCAGGAAGTTCATATTTATCTGGCTGGAGTATATCTGTTAATAATTGTTGCAAGATGCCGACACGTCGAACGATTTCTTGAGAACTTGATTTAGACATCATAGAACTGTAAGAAATATTTAAAATGCCACTATATATTTTTTATATTCATATTTGAGCAAATATGAATATTTAAACACGTAAAATATAAAATAAGAATTAGAATCATTCTAAATCCGAATATATTCAATTTCAAAATGAATTTTATTTTTGTAAATATAAATATTAAAAAATGTGTAATATGCATATACAGACATAAATACATATTCTATAATAATTATGTGTAAATTATATATAAGATATGTATATATCTTTATAATTTCATACGTATAGTTATGTAGAGACGCACGTTGCTGTGCTATTTCATGTAACGTCTTCATAATATGATTCGCTATTTTTACAGATGTTTCCTTTATACTCTCAGTCTCTGTAACATCTAATTTAGATATATATCAGTATTATGTTGCAAATTATTATATTACACACTTATTACTTATCTTTAATTATTCAATAAGCTCAAACATCTTAATGAATTTATAATCTATATTTTCATAATACATTTATATAAAAAAATTTAATAAAAAATTAATTTCTTTATCTCTAATTAAGTTGTTGATAACTTTATCTATGAGATCTTCCAGATATCTCATTTATTTATGAGATATCTGAGAGATAACTTATCTAGAGATGACGAAATTGACCATAAAATAAAATAAAAAAGTTTAATATAATTTATATTTTTTACATAAAATTATTATCAGTGTAATAATATTTTTAAGCATATTTGATATATATTTGGTATATATTATGAATAAATAGTTTAATATATTAGGAAGATAAAAACAATTTTGTATAATTTAGATTAAATACAATCAATTTTATATACAGAATAGATGTTATTTTTCATTGTCAAATTTTATATTACTTATTATATATATTCTCGGATTTTGTTTTATATTTGTAATATTAAAATATTTTTTATAATATGTTAATGATTTATTATTTTTGTATTTTATAGCACATTTTACTAACCGAAAAGCGATAAAGTTTGTTGATACACTGACATCTTGCTGTTCAGTATATTTTCTTTTAATTTTGTAATGTCCTCAAATATAGCATCAGTGATCGCTTCTTTCAACTGTTGCTCTTGTTGAAGAGAGAATTGTATTTCAGTTCCAACTAACGCATAAATGTGCACCAAAAGTGCCAATATATTATCTGTATCTAGGCCTCGTTTTTCGCGCGTTTTTATTATATTGCTTAACTGAAAATATTCGAAAGAAATCTTATTAAAAATGATGGAAATATTGAGAGTGTAAAAGAAACTAAATACGATATTTACTTGCCCAAGCACGCTTGTAGAATCACGACTCACAGCTATGTTTTGTAAAATTAATTTCTCGAGACTAATTAATAAATCTAATCGTGAAGTCTTTTCTGATGTTAAGGCTTGTATAATTCCCAGTACCACCTATAAAATAAATAATATTCAAATACATGTTTTTCTAAATTGTTTATATGATATTAAGAAGAGAAAATTATACATATCTAGAAACCATTTTGACTATCAAAGCAAAGCATATATTAAATTTTAATATTTTATTATTAGGGTACACATACTTGAAGCTTTTTGCTTGATTCTGATATAATGTGAAGATCATCTACATCTTTAAATTTATTTACAAGCTTCTCTAAACTATGTGCAGAAATTCTCGTTGCTAATTTTGGTTTCAAGTTTTCTCTTAGTTTTAAATTTTCTTTTGATGAAAGTATGTCGATAAGTATTTTATTCATAGTAGCCAATACTTCCTTTTGTTTTTTTGTGATTAATATATTCATCAGCGTTTTATCATTGCTAGCCAAGCATCCTGGTACATCGATAAATTCCTTAAAATATAAAAAATACTTTTATGCAATTTTCATGTAATAATTGACAATTCTATAATCTTGTTCATAATATTTAAATGAGATATGTATATCACATATTATAATGAGCTATTATACCTGTGGACCGCAAAATAGAGGAGACATATTTATTGCAACGTCATTGTAATGATGAGGTAAATGAGGTAAAGTACACAATATTCTGGATAGCAACGATTCAGTATTATTACTAGTGGAAGTACAAAGATCTAATACTCTATCGACAAAGATTAAAGATACTCCCTTTCTCTTTGTAGCAACTAAACTCTATATAAAATTAAATATTAAAGTAAAACGTTTAATATTTTTAAAATCTTTGTTGGTCTTTTTTAATTGTAATCATTAGAATTATTCTTTCATAAACTTACGTTTCTACGATCGATGGCTATTGGTAACGTTTCTAATTTTTCAGCAACATATTCGCTAAATTTTCCAATTGAATAAATATCTTCTTTCAAATTCAAATATGTTAATAAACTGTTGAACAAACTCACAAAATGATCAACTGCATACTGTGAATTCTTTAACAATGCATTATTTAATGGTGATAATAGATCACTGAAAGGTGGTGTTACAAACAGACCATTGTCAATTAGACTAATAAAAATTGGTCGAAATAGTATTGTCACTGAACAGTCCTATAAAAATCAATGTATAATAATAAAATTTTAATAATATATAATAAACTTTATATAATAATTTAAAGTTGGAAATTGGACTTGTATATTAAACGAATAAGTACTACCTGCAACTGTTGATTAGAATGCATCCAGCTTTTTACATCTCTCTTTAATTTGATATAATCTGTTCTATCCTCTAGTGACACTGAATCCTCATAATTTAACACGCTTGAATGTGCAGCAGTAATAATTGTGCAATGTTCAAATGCATTTTTCTCTAACATCATCTTAACTGTACGTTGATAAAAAGCTAGATCAGTAGAAGTAGAAATAATAACTACCTTTTTGCAATTCTGTACTTTGACATACTGTAACAAATTGCATAATAAATTAATTATTTAATTATGAAATTTTTTTGTGACAAATGCATTTGCTAATCACATACACGAAAGTTATACATATCCAATTCATGAACTGACATTGCACCAGCATCCTTAAAGAAGGAATGTATCTTGCCACCAGTATGCCAGTGAAGGCATTCCGTTGCTGCATGATCTATATAGACCGCAGATTCACTTACAAAACCAGCAATATCATGCCAAATATCAGCAAGAAATTGTTCCACATCATTAATGGCTTCCATTATTCATTAAAAATATAGCATACATGAATGAAATGATTTTTCACTGTTACTTTTAAAATGAGTTCGAAATTACAAATTATTGTGTATTCAACATTCAAGTAATATATAGTAACAGTATACTAATATTGTTCAATGAGACAACATAAATTGTAACATAACGATATTATTTAGTCATCCTTATTAATTGTGCAAAATAGAATTCAACTTCTTTACATCATACAGTTTAAATTCGTGATAGTACATTATTTTTTTATATCAAACTTTAAATTGCCATGGTTAAATAGCTGACTATAAATTATAAGACAGGAGCAATATAGGTTGCTGCTAGTTGAAACTTCACGAGTGCCCCAGTGCCTTAATGTGTCATTCCAGCTTTAGACATAAAACATGGATAAAAAAATACAATTCACTTGGCATTATTAGAGAGAAATCCAAAGAAACCTAAGGCTCCTGACAAAGTCCATTCTTGATCCCTGTCTTTTTTATATTTTTCGTGAAATAATCGACCATACCAGAGAGAAACCTAAGAGAGGCCATGCTGGCCTTCTTCCCATTACCGTCGAAATCGCCGTACACTACCGCCAATACATTTTTAGTTTGGAAACTACATGACTACATACATTTTCTGTCACTGTCGATAAAATCGTATCGTCGAAAGTGGTTCGTCACTGTAATACATCCTCAGGATAGAAGCGAGTTAATTATCTAATATCCATAGGAGGGATAGTTTAATGGGTTTTTGAACGAAAAAATTTTAATTCCGCATCTGCTACATATGTAAATAAAAGTTGTTGAATTTTAATAAATGAAACTGAAAAAACAAGTTAATTTAGTGAATTTTATTTTATATATATCATTTATCTTATAATATCTTATAAAATTACAAAGTTATGTAAATTTTCAGCCAGTATTTATCAAATATAATTACTAGTATAAGTCTCTAGCAATTATAGAGACTTTTAATAAATTCAATCTTTTCAAAACATATATTGTCAATTTAAGATATAATTTAACAAAAATGAGGTATAGAGGCCCTCCACCACCCCCGCCAATTTTATCGGTGGTCCTCTTTTTTTTGTAAGTATATTTACATAAAACAAACAAGCTACTAATAAATTTAGTAGCCGTTTTTGCAGTCTTTAATTAATTTTTTTATTTTTATGTCTAATTATTTTATTGTATTTCGTGAAATTGTAATAACTTTTTAAATATTATTCTTTATTGTATTATCCTTTATACAATTCGATATTACAATTATATTAATTATTTACAATACAATATACAATTATCAATGCTGTTGCAACAATATAATAAAAATGATAACATAGGAGCATAATTAATAAATTTTTGTAATGCAGAATTATTTTATTATACATACATTTAAAGAATTTCTGAAACACAGAATAATTTGCAGTAAAAGTAGTGTCTTAAATTAATTTATTAACTGAAAAATTAAATAACGATTAACAAGATATTTAGTACTTTTAATCAAACCTGTATTTAGGCCACTGTATTTAACCACAAATTGTTTCATTTTATTAAAATTTTTTGCGTTTATCTTTATATAAAGAACATATATAGAATATTTTATCAATCTTTATTGAAGTATGGATCATTAAAAAGAATCATGAAAATTGAGAATTATTGAAAATATTAAAAATATCTCACGCGAATAATTACTAATTCGTTTAAGAGAACCATGCAAATAATATAGGATTGTGCCCGAGATGCCACAAAGCAAAACGCGAAATGTACGGCGATATCCGTTTGTCAAAATCATGTAAAATATGAAAAATTGAATAAATCGTTGAATATTTTTCATACGCGATAGTTAGGTGAAATCTAAAAACATCTGGCGAAAAGCTCGGGGGGGAAGGGGGTCGCGCGCGACGAAAAGCGGTGGGTCGCGAGGCGAA